TAAACTGCGACCATCATTTGGGGCGCTGGACGCGCCAACGGGAACGAGACGAGGGTCCACTTCGCGCAACGGTTGAGGTGTATCGTGTCTGGCCAGCAGCTCTTCAACCTTGGGCATCACGCCGTCCACTGCTCGCCGTACAGATTCCTCTAATTTGCTAATGCGGCCTCTCTCTTGGGAGTGACGCTTCTCCATTTGCGCAAATCGGACATCCATGGTTTGAAATCGTTCCTCTATTACTTTCTGGTTGTCGTGCAGTAATTTCTGCAATTGGAGGAAATCGGAACGTGTCTCCATGTGCCCTGCGTTTCCACAGGATCGCACCGCTACAGACTTGTTTCTCGGCATCTCGAATCTGTGAACAAAACACGAACAATACAGGTACACGATGGACCCAAACATTTGAAATAGAGATTGAATGGATATTATTCAGATTATTTTTTAAAGATTATACACTGTGCACAGGAAAAACACGATGCAACGTAAATTGGCTTTACGATCTGACTTTTTGGATTTCTAATTTTCACCCAGATCCCCTTCTTGTAATATTTCCCAGTCGCGTTCGTACATTACAACAGTTCTTTAGTTATTTTACATTAGTTATTTTTGTAGTAAACTGTATTATGAGAATTGCGCCCTTTCCTCTCGTATGTAAGTACAGGAGAAATGATTTTGTAGAAACAAGAGCTTTAAAAAAAGTGTTTTGTGTTGGAAAAACGTAAATATTTAGACTACATTTGATATGTTAAAAGAAGTTTTTAAACGTTTGGCACGGACTTTCCAGTACCTTTCGTAGAATGCCTCTGCTATGGATTTATAGCGAAGTATGACTGCTACACTAGTGATAAGCCCCGGGGACAGCTTAGATTACAATAGAAATCCACGCGACCACTCGCGTTTCAGTTTCTGACCTAAGCTGACATCATGAATATCGCTGCAATTGATGCTGTGAATGTTTATGCACAGTACTATAGAGGAGAAAGTTTAAGCAGAAAAGGATTTTATAAGGATATTGCTTTGTATTTTATGAAATCAGAAATGAAAAGGAAGATGGAGAGAAAAATCTGAGCCCACCGCAACAAGAACACGCGGGAGACTTGTACTGAGTATTCAAAAAAGGCCGAGAGTTCTACGGAGTCATCAAAGTGCATGTGGAATTTTGTTATCTCTCTGGATGTCAGCAAATCAAGATCACTCGCCAGAACATCGAAAATTGTGTCCAGTGGGCGTCAATCCCAATCAGAAAATCTGTGAGAAATTAATCCAATTTCAAATTGATCTATTGAAACACATTCAGAATGGAGGCTACAGATGTTTAAACATTTTATTTAATAATCGTAATGAAAACTACTCTGTAGAGCCAAAAGAACTGGTACCGCCATGCGTATAGAAATAATAAGATCTGGAGCCAATAAGAATACAACGCTCCGGTCTGCAATGACTATATAAGATAATCAATCTTATACAATGGTAGGTAATCACGATTTAAGTGAGTTTGAACTTGGTGTTATAGTCGGCGCCCTCGGTAGAGATGGGGCATAGCTTCTCCGAGGTGGCGATAAAATTTGGATTTGTTCGTACGACTTTTTCACGAGTGTGCCGTGAAGAGAAGTAAAACATCAAACCTTCGGCATTGCTGCGGCCGCAAAAAGATCGTACAAGAACGGGACCGACGGCGACTGAGAAGAATCATTGCACGTGACAGAAGTGCAACCCTTCCGCAAATTGCTTCAGATTACAATGCTGGGCAATCAACACGTGTCAGCTTGCGAACCATTTAACGAGACAATATCGATATGGGGTTTTGGGGCCGAAGGCCCACTCGTATATCCTTAATGACTGCACGACACAAACTTTACGCCTCGCCTGGGCCCGTCAACACCGACATTGGACTGTTGATGGCTGGAACACGTTGCCTGGTCTGTCGACTCTCTCTTCGTATTGTTTCGAGCGGATGGGCGTATACGAGTATGGCGACATCATAAATCCATTGATCCTGCATGTCAACAGGCGGTTGTTCAAGCTGGTGGAAGTTATGTGATGGTATAGGGCGTGTGTAGTCGGAGTGATATGGAAGCCCTGATACGTCTAGATACGATTCTGATAGGTGACACTTTCGTAGGAATCCTGTCTGATCACCTGCATCCATTCAAGTCCATTGTGCATCCCGACGTACTTGGGCAATTCGTGTTGGACAATGCAACAGCCTACACGGCCAGATTTGCTAGAGTGGCTGCAGGAGCACTCTTCTGAATTTAAACACTTCCACTGGCCACCAAAATCCCCAGACGTGAACATTATTGGGCATTTCTGGGATGCCTTGCATTGTCCAGTTAAGAAGAGATATCCACCCCCTCGTTTAGGAGTTATTAGGAGTTTATAGAAAGCCCAGCAGGATTCATGGAAATATGGAGCTTTTTGGGGGAAATTTCGAAAATGTCCTAGAAGCGTCATGAACCCTCAAATTTTTAGAATGTTTTAAGAATTGCAGAACTACGAGTGACGCCAGAATGGGCGGTAAAATTTTCATTTTGGAAAAAATCCTGATAAATACATCCGATTTTGTCGAGAACGAATCTGATTTACAGGACATGCTGTGCGAAGGCTTTTATGCTAATTTTTTTACTAATGAAAATTCACGATAGTGTATTCTTACAGTATTCCTGAAAGTGGTCTCTTAAAAGGGATAACGGTTACCATCGGATAAGATGGCAAAATGTGTCCATAAGCCAAGTGCATATGAGTAGTTCCACTATAACTCTGACATAAAACTTAGATTTTTTGAAAGTTCAATAGCCGCCAACCCACACCCCTCTACTGCCAAAAAGTTTTCTTTATTTTAATTTTTTTCGTCAGTTTAACACTATCGAAAAATATGAAAAACATGAAAATAATTTCGAAGGCAGCAGCAGGCGCTGCGATTCTATATAGAATGATGGCAAAATTTTGAGCATATGCTATAACGACTATTAGGTCAGAATGTTCTGGCGTCAGTACTAGTGGCGATGTAAATACTTCGGTATTTTTTTTTATTTAACGTTTTCTTACTTCCGATAAAGTAGTTCAAATCTGTGAGGGCTTGCGGTCCACGCTGCCGTCACAAACAAGCCCCGTGTTCCTCGAGAAGTGCAGCAGCAGGCGACGTCGCGCAAACACCGCTGTCGTTCGCGGTGTGTTGCCATCCGCACAAGAGCGCCGCCATGCTATCTCGACACCACACCGGCCCAGCCTCTCCGTCCATATTGGAGTCGTCGTCGAGAAAACATGATCTTGGCACGAGCGACGGCATGTCTTTTCTATGCGTGAAGCACATAGCGCAGTCGCCGACAGCCCGTCCGCCAAGTCGGCGCTCGGGGTGTTAAACATCACTACGCTTGCAGCATGGCGCTCGCCGCCACTGGTCGCGCACCTCCTGCCGGGCAAAATCTAGTTTGCTTTTTCGTTTCAGTTACCATTTTTCGCACGGCAAGCGTAAACGTGGCTCCTTTTTCGGGGGGCAATCAGCATTCACGTGTTGAATCCAAATTTTATCCCCCAGGCTTTCTAGCCCTGAGGGAATAGGGTTATAGAAGAATGATTAAAATGAAAAGACAGACATAGCCACAAACAGCCCATGCGCCGAGACGTACTAAGAATCCACAATCCTTTTGTCGAAAATCGCCTTGGCACAGCTGCTAGCAATCTCTGCCTATTCGGATCCGGCATTATTTTTTGTCGCGAATGGCAACTTTTGGGACCCCAACATTCAACAAAAATTGAAAGGCTACTTTGTCGCAATGATTGCAACCACACCGTGGATCTGCATTCTGTATTGGCAGACGTTGTGTATGAGAGTAGCAATCTCTCTATCGCAATTTTTTTGAGAGAGGCAATCTGAGAGGGAGATGAGTATTTATTATCCACGTTGAATCCCACGCTCTATTTACACCCAGGATTCGATTATAGCCAATGGGAGGATGAAGCGCAGAATCATAATGATGGTGGATTGAAGGTACAAATTGGACTTGCAATGCGAGAAATATACGAGAGAAATCATAAGCTAGGCTCGAGGTGGGCACTAGAACCCGAGCAGAATACCTTTCTGTCCGAGATCGCTAAAGGGACTATTGCCTAGCGACCTCGAGTCTCCGGATGTCATATTATTATTATATTATTATTTCTTACTTATTATTATTATTATGTACTTATCTATATCTATCTTTACATTATTTATTATTATCTATTATTATTATTATTTGTTTGGTTGTTGTTGTTGTTTTGTTGTTAACACCAGTATCTTCTCACATTTCGTTTTTAAGCCGCTCTTCTCGACGCGCATTTCTCATGAAAACTTGTATTGGTATATGCACACATTTCAGGAGAGCCATTCGTCTCGTCAACTGTTCTTTGCGTATGTATTTTTTGCTTGCACTTGCTTTCACCACTACACTGTTTATATCTTGAGCTATAAATTTCTATAAATCCTGGAGTTGAGTTAGTACACATATGATGCTTATTCGGTTAGTTAATCTATTTGCCTGGATTCTCCTAGACAAGAGAAAGTGTATTAATTTCGCCTTAAAATACCTTGAACACTATTGGCGCGCAAATATTTTTTATTTGCTCACTAGATCTCTGTTAAATGGGTACTCCTGAAGGATAATCTACTCGGAATTTTCACCAAACGGTGTAGAACGAAATTATATTCCGTTATATCTGTAGTAACGTGTACAAATACAATACCACATTTACACTATCCATATTTTATGCGTTCTGTGATTCGTAATATTGTACATGTATGTGTTTACAATTTTTTATACAGTTGCAAAAACAACAAATTTCACTTTAATTACCTTTTCTCTCTCGAAACTATCGTTAAATCATAATTAAATTCAAAATACTCCACTACTCTAATGATATACTGAAGACTCTCACCTAAAAAATTCAGATCTTTTAGGATTATATAATATTATATTAAGACATGATTTGCACTCCTAAATAATTCTTTCTTCTCGAACAACGTCTAAGGTTATAGATAACTTTTCTCTAAATAAATAGTCTTCTGTTATTAAAGACGTTCAATTATAGTGAAATAGAAGTCATTATATATTATAAATATTACTTCATTGATTTATAGAGTTGTGCATAACCACCGATCCTCCCATACTGAGTAATCGCAATATTTTGCATCAAAAGAACTTCGTATGGACTATATATATAGAGGTATTCATCTCTTCTTGAGAAAGCCCCCAACCGTCTTCTTCCGCCATCTGCTTGTCTTATACCTCAGCTGGGCGAGCATGAGTAGACAATGATCTGCAGAAACCACGTCCGGGCGACCTCCCTAGCTTAGCCACATGTGAAAAGTTGAGCAAG